TAATAACACAGGTAACTATAATAATAGTGATTTTACTTACTTCACTTTAATTTACATAAATGACTCAGAAGGCAAGGCTGGCAATTGAGTGATTTTGCATGGATACTGTAAAAGGACCAAGGGTCCTACTGAAAAAATGACATTTTCCCCCAGTTTTCATTCGAAAATTCCCAATTTGCTCAAATAATAAAATTAGAGTTCATAAAAATTAATGAGATTGTTTGCAACAATTTTACAGCAAATATTTTCACCAATTTAATAATAAATATTGTATTGATATCCTTTCCACTCTGAAGGGAGCTGGCCGAAGTACCAAAATAAGTCCTGTTTACAATTAGCTCTGAAAACTGGGTTACATTATAAACCATCTGGTCAATATATGTCCAACATGTATTTAAATTTAGTTAATTGCTTTTCAAATTGTGGTGCTTTAATTCGACTGTTCCCTAATATCATAGCTCTTAATTGAGAAAAAAGAAAATTATAAATATAAAGCCAAGATGAAATTTTAAGGCAGTCCTGGCTCCTCTTTTCAAAAAAAAAAAAAAAAAAAAAAAAAAGCCAGCACCTATAAACGCAAGTCCTCTTTCAAGTCTGCAAAGATTCTCAGAACAAGGAATTAATATGGTAGATGCACAAGTGCTTAAAACAGTTCATCATCATTATTAAATCTGCACATGTTGTCCGACAGCCTTCCATCAATTTAAAAGAGCAAAAACAATTAGTCTGCCGAGACTATTACATAGAGATGTACATGTCTGAAGCTAAGAATCTATGCTGATTAGTACCAAAGATTAATATTTTTTTAAAGTTCTTACTTAAACATGTAGTACATTTTTATTATGTAATGGTAATGTCTATATGGATCTGGTTAAGGTCTGTCCTGAGACACAGTTATTTTTACTCTTTTGGTCTGTCCTGAGACACAGTCATTTTTACTCTTTTAAAAGACCTCTAAACAACAAAAAACAAAAAATAAATCAACACTGAGTTCTTTTTTTTTTAAATCTTATATAAACATTGTACTCAGCACTGACAAAAAAAATGAACTTAAATTTGGGCAGATTCCCAGGTCAGATTGATTTCAATCTCAGAGCTATATGACAGTATATTGAAAATATTTACTCTGTGAATTTAAATGTAGAATAGGTATTCCGATATAGGTCAACACCTGCTGATAAATTGTTTTGCAATCTGTGGATCCTCCCAGTCAATGTCCCTAAAAAACCTACAGTCTTTGGTTCATTCATATAATCCCTTGGCATGATTCTATAAAATCATCCCAAATGTGATGAAGAAAATCTTAACAAGGTTAGAAAATGCTGACCCCAAGACTATTATATAAATCATTATTCCAGAGGGTTTCCACAAGCTAAATGCACCTTATTCAAAGGTGAGTCTAGCTAACAATACATATAGACAAAGGAAGATCACATGCATATTAATTCTAGTTAATTATCTTGTCATCTACTTTGGCATTAATAGTATCTTTTCCCATTGTTCAGAATTTTGCATACCAAAATCTGTATCTAATTCCCATTCTTTGCAAAGTGATATCATGATTAACAATTCAAAGCACTGAAGTTTACACTACATGTATAGAGAAAATACACACAACTGCCCAAAGATCAAGGTAAAAAACGTTAGTCAAGAAGCAACTACTGTGCAAAATTCATTGATAATTTTTTTTAGATCTTTTTGTGCATATCAAGGCAATAAATTGCATGACTGCTCATTAAGTGTATCAGATCTCAGAACCAAGCTCTGGAAAGGCCAATAATTACTTCTAATTCAGTTGACTTCACTCTAAATCACAATTTTTGGTATTTAACTTTCTACATTATTTTTATCTATATTTCAAATCTGCAAACTGAAATGGATTACTGGTTGTGTACCTTCTTGTATCTATAGTTAATCTGTTAATAATTTAAATAAATATGATCAGTAAACATGGGAAAACTACATTCCAAAGCTGGGCTGGTATTTTTCTCTACAACTGTCTTTTGTCTTTGAAACAATTTAGACTGGCTAGAATCTGCCTATAATCAGTTTGACATTATGCCATGTGGACTACATCTGTTCATTTAGATCTATACTGTTCATTTAATCAGACATTTAATTGTATTTTTATGTCTCAGCTAATGTTGCAGAGGCAGATCTGACCTAAAAAAGAATTAACACTTGTACAACAATGATTACAATGCACACTATAGGCCAACAATGCATTTCACACAGATATTGATATCATACATCAATTTCTATTGCCTACCAAGGAACAAGAACCCATACTCTGTAAGTTGTCTAAAAGAAACACAAACTTTTTCACCTGTGAAAAATCAATCAAATTTATTTTCACTGAATTTCCTTCGAAAGAACTCTAGTGATTTTGGCAAAGGGAAACATCCAAATTATCTTGGTAAATAATAGGGTACATACAATTTAGATTGTGTAATATGATATACGAGCATTGTTAAAGAGAGAAAGCTTTGTCCAGATCTGATCACCTTGCTGTAATGTGACCACCCATAAAATGACATTTGTTAACCTCTATAGAAAGTGGACTCTGGAAAACTGGTGTGGGTTTATCTTGTTATCAAACTTCTGTTATGCAATATGGTATCAAAATTACATATCCAGAATATCATAAATGCAGTTTCAAACTTCCCACGCCCCATATAATACACAATAATTTGTCCTCATATTTGAGGAAAACTTTTTTTTTTAAACAATTATATACATATTTATAAAAGGTCTCAATTTTACATTTTAGATGTTATTTGTTTAGTTTTAAAATGCAATATGAGACATCTCCAAGGAGCATGGCCAGTGCAACTTCATCCAGTCCATACATTTGGTTTCAGGGAATCTAGTTTGAGAGTGTATGACACTGCACTGTAACTGAAGTGACCTACATCATATAATTGGCCATATCAAGTCTAAATTTGCAGAGTAATTATTTCAAAATTCAGCAGGACAACAAGAGACTTCCTATCATTAGCCGACATTTCACATTCAAGTTCACCACTTTACCTTCTACAGAATAATCATAACATGACAGACTTAATGTCTTATATACAGAGCCTGCTGTGTACAGTCTAGACAACAACATATGACCAATCATTTCAAAACTGCAAGCCATCTGCAAATTAAGTGTAAATATTGTAAGTTAAAAATTTCACTTTGATAATACAGTGTACCCAGTTTGAAATTAAATTTTAGAAAGCATTGATATATGTATTCATAAACTAGTTATATATTCACCAGTTCACAATGATTATGTATATATTACAACCTTTATTCCCTACAAAATGACAGAGACCAGAAATTTTTCAATGAATTAAAATTAGCATAAATATGCAAGGATGGATCTTCTAACTGATGTTTACGAGTCAATAAAAACTGTCTCTTTTTATTCACTTTTCACACTTTATGGATTGAAGAGTTTTCAATTCTAAAATCAGTGTTTTCATTTTAAATCCATCTTCAGCGTAAAACATTTCCTTATTGTGTCTTTATTTCATCATTTTTCTGTTTGTGCGTATGTTGTTTCTCACTTTCTGCTTACTGTGCAAAAAAATTTATCAGATTTCAATAGACCGATTACTGTCCTTGGAAAATTGATGACCATTTAACATTTTGATTCTTTTTAAATTGATCATTATGCCCATGAACATTTTTTTTTAAATTTCCCTTTTAAAACATGAACAAATTACTTCTTTGATCATTTTGAAGACATGCCAAGTAAATGAAAATCCATCTGACCTGTTACATTGCTAGGAAAGTCACCAAGTCTGACATTTTGTCTAGTATTTTCTATTTCCTTTTATTCACTTTTTTCTTGTTTAATGTATATGTTGAATAAATTCATAGAGTAGATTTTTATCTTAAAGATTAAGAACAATGGCAATTCATGTTTATAAATTAATCCTCTTTGTGTATATTTACATGTATAGCAAGAATGGCGGTCAGTGTTACGATTTACTCTTGTAGCCAGGGTACAAGATGGGGAGATGGCTGGGACAAGAAAGATGGAAAAGATATAAGCTTCTATTTAACCATGTGCCCATGTTCTGGAGAAATCAGCAAAGCTTTTACAGCAGAGCTAGCACAAGTTAATGTGTCAGAGAACAATGCACAACACACATGCAGGAAACACACTGGTCAAAAGGAGGTCGGTCAATTTATCATTATGCCCAGACTTTTCTACAGGATTATCAATCAATGTGCAAAATTTTCCTTCAGTTCTCATGTTTTATTACAAAAGCCTTGTCAAAAAGGAATAAAGGCACTCAAATTTGCACAACTTTCACACACATGGGATTCAGTGACAAGTCTTTTTTTTAATACATTCATCCAGACAGCTATGCATGCTGTAATTTGAATACAGGGCTGAGGGTCACACAAGTTGAATGTTAGGAGCCGCCTTCTTTAGAACATGCCTGATAACATGCGAAAAGCGAATGTATTATGGTATGCAAATTGGATTGGTTTATGTACATGAAGTCCTTTATGAAAGTCTGAACATACATTCCCTATTGTTACATAATATTTACCTGTTCTTAATATTATTCAGCTAGACAGGTAATAGCAAGTTCCATGAATAATAGATGATGTCCTAAACTTACACATGTAATGAGCTAGATAATACACAGTGTGGGAAATATTTGCCAAGATCAGTGGAACACGCAGATGGTCAGAGAACACTTAATTAATGTAAATACACTTTGAAGATGATCGGACTACCTGTTGGGATGTGATAAATATGTGTGAAACAAGGTCATATTTATCAGCCCTTTCACTTTATGTCATCGGGTCATAGTGGTCTACAGAACAGTCACCCTCACAACTGTCTAACGGCTTTGTTTTATAGTAAATAACAAAAATAAGTTTTGTCTTGCTTCAAACTATGACTTTGACAAATGACACTGCAACATGCTCTAATGACTACACACCATTTTATTATATACCCCCCCTGCGGTCAGAAATAAACTAGCACGTACCTGACTCAAATTGTCCTCGCACCGGTGCAAATAAAAATATACTTTGGGTTAAAATCAACCCCAATATATTCCCATACCACATGGTAAAATAAAAAAAAAACAAAAGGATCCCAACAAAAGTCAGACTGAATTAAAAACCATCCAGAGGCTGGACCGCTTCTCCGCTGGTGACGGTGCTCCTAATATAAATCATCCAAGGAAATAAATAACAAAAGGTTTTTCCCCCTCCTTAATTTTTTGCGAATCTTGGATCTTTTGGTGTCCGTTGGTAAAGTAGATAGCTGCTGGTGAAATGGTTTTTTAATCACAAAACATATCTGTCTTACGGGGTATTTTGTTCACAACACCGTGCTAATCGTACATGCTTATAGCGTAGCACCCCTATCACCAACTGTCAAATGTTAACTGCAATATTATTTTCGAGAGCACGTGTGATCTCAGGACGAGTCGACTCTAGGGGGAGTGGAAGGGTATGACGTAACCACTAGCACATAGGTAAAGACTGTCAAAGACTTTTAAAAGTTCCAGACAATATTTAAGAAATTTCCTCAAATCACGGTTGATATATCTTATAATCTTTTTCTTGAATGAATCGAACACAAAGTAGGTGATCCATGCGAAGATAAGTTCACAAGGGCAATGGAGTAGAAATATTGTCGCAACTTGCCCGTGAAATTCAAGTTTCGTTGAATTAAATACTATTTAATGTGTCTGGAAGTCTGGTTTGTATCAGGTCATACCAGCTTTTACTCGGCAAAGTAAATAAACAAAGATTTATTGACAGGACAATGTGTTCTCGAGATTGAAATACTTTCGCTAAGTGGCTGAGCCGAGAAAACAATATTATTACTGACCAAGAGATTTATTTTTAATTCTTGTAAACAAAGATACGACAGTCAATTGTCCATAAAAGTTTGTGTTTGGAATGCCTATAATCAGAGTCAGTATTTTGAAGGAGTGACAAGGACTTGATTAAATTGAACTTGATTTCTCGACCCCATTTAATTTTCCCAACAATACACAGTAATTAATTGAAGGAGTTTAAAATAACCCTTCCAATGAAACCCAAACTCCATTCATGAGCATTTTCGAAAAAAAATTATTGTTAAGAGTAATAAGATCAGTGGTCTATACTTGTTCAGATAGTTGAATTATTTCCTATTGATTCAGATTCATACATATAGTTATTTTAGGGAAACAAAATCTCAATCCTCCTTAGGATCGTAAACAACTAATCAACTATATACATGTACATATAGCATCTTACTTTTATATACTGCATTGGAGTTAGAGTAAACAGACATATATAATGATTCATATTACATCAATTTCACAATTGTTGGAGGTAAATTATTGACAAACATGTTGATGAAACAAGAATATCAGCAGTCTCGTTTAACGTCATCATTTCGTAAGTTCTATGGTCGATACAATGACCTTGTCAGCAAATACAATCTTTCGCTAAGTCAAATGCTGACTGACTTTTTTCATACTACATGTAATTGTTAGGCCATTATTTTTACACACTGAATTGTCGACGGATTTTTCCGTTATTTCCCGATCATGTCAAGGAGCACACGGCGGGTGTGACCGGTCGGCAGGGGATGCTCACTCCTCCATGGCACCTGATCCCACCTCTGATGTCTTAGAGGTCTGTATTTGCTCTGCTCCTATTTTGTAATGTTTAATGGACTTTTGAGCTCGAATACTGTTCGTTATCTCTACATATTTCATTGGAAACAATGAGGGAGGCGGCCTCTTCATTTTTGAACAAAAATTGCCATTACAGTATTTCTATTTAATTATAATATAATGTATTTTTTTTTTCAATTTTTAAAAATAATTTCCTTACAACCCTGGCGCCTGAAGTTGAAATTCTGGACCCGACTTGATCTTTTTATAACAAAAAAAATTAGAGTTTTTTTTACTTACGCACATTACATTTTCTCCTTCCATAACAAATATGTCTTCACTGCAAAAGTTTGAAGCAGGTCTTAATGAAATATTCAACATGGGACTCTTCCATCTATATAATACAACAGAGTTATAAGCTTCTTATGGTCTAGAAGAATGTTCTATCGCGTTAAAATGATAATGTTCTTAAGAGGGACACGGTTGTGAGGGCTTGTCCCGAGACGCAGATTATTCTAACTACTTTTGGTAATGTTTTTTGAGTTTCCTTGAATTATGTTATCTGAATATCTCTCTACGCTAATTTATATGTGTTAACTCTGATTTTGACATTTTTATTTATTTTTTTTTTAATTTAATTTAATTTTATGCTGATAGAGTATTTAATGCACGATTGCATGTTTCCAAGCTTAAGAAGATTCGACTTCTTTGATTGTCACCCCTAATATTAAAAATACAATATTCAATGTAGGAGTGACTATATTTTAAGAAGGTAAAAACCAAGCGTAGTGTGCTTATATTGAACAAAATATAAATAATTTATCAAAAAGTTGACACTTAACTCATTGTAAATTAATAAATAATGAAACAGTTACTAGATCATAGGTTGTTAAGTGGATAAACGTTTACTTACCCATTATTATTATTTTTTATAAGCTATAAATGCGTCTGCTTGTCACAGGAAACTGCACAGCAATGATAAAATTAGAACCGTTCATGTTACACGGTAGTCGGAAATAAATTACACGAAAAATGATAGGATATTTCATAGACGTATGAGAAATTTCAAGTCTCATCAATTTGTGCATTGATGATTTTCATAATATCCTGACATGGTATCTTATCAAAAACTTACGAGTCAGTGTCCAATGAGTAAACAACAAACAGGACAGAAGTTGGCAGAGAGAGAGAGAGAAGGGGGGGGGTATTTTATTCACGTGTGCACTGGCATAATTTAAATCATTAATTAAAAAAATAAGAGTATGAATCAGTATGACAAATTCATTAACCCAAAAACATCCCTTTCGTCATTTTCAAATCACAACTGCAGGTCTAACTTGAAATCAGTATGGATTACCAGTGAACAAAAGTCTATGCTGCAGTCGGATACTCAGTAGATCTATTGGTTGGTTCAATCGATGTTCAAAAATCGCATAGTATAGGCAGTTTAAAAAGTTTTCTTTTAATCGGATCAAACTTGTTTGTTCTGAGTACAGTTTAAATACACTGTGAGTATAATTTGCTTGGCATACTAATTTCCTTTGGGCCCAAAGTGCTTATCGGTTATCAACAAGATCTATAACAAGAGTCCCGTGGGCCACATTGCTCACAGTGGCCTGAATCACTGTGGCCCTGCTGTTCTAAATCAGCAGATTTTCCCCTTCTATATTCATATGCAAAACTTTATTCAAATATTCCTCCACCCCAACCCGCAGCGGGCATGAATTGAACAAATATGAATCTACACTACCTGAGGATATGACTGTTCATGTCTTTGTTGTTCTTGAGATGGCTATGCAAAGCAGATGGGTAATTATTTTACACTTAGTTAAGTTATATTAAGATAAATGGGCTCTGAGATATCCCCGTGGGAGGCACATAAGTAAAGTTTGGAAACCTATCGACGGGAAAATTCATAATGTTTACATTTTCTGTCTACTTATGAAAATCTCAGTTTGATTGGTGCTTCTCAGTGAGAGAAGCAAGCCCGAAAAAAAAAATAAGAATGAAGTTTGTCAGGAGTCCCAGTTCAAGACCTCAGGGGGTCAGGACCCCTGGCGTTGTGAGGATGGCAAACTTCGGCTTTGATTTGTTTGTTTGTTTGTTGTTTAACGTCCCTCTCAAGAATTTTGCACTCATATGGCGACGCCACCACTTGCCGGTGGAAAGCCGCAAATTTTGACCTATGCTCGGCACTCAAGGCCATTGAGCAGTGAGGGATCTATTCCCTGCCAGCACCTACTGCGACACGGGACCTCGGTTTATACAGTCTCATCCGAAAGACCGGTCTCCACGTCCCACAGTGGGATTCCAACCCGCGACGTAAGGATCAACTCTTTACTTCGCGACTCTAGACCAGACGTTCTACCACTGCGCCACGCGGGAGACTTTAGGCTTCGGGCAAAAGCTACTTAGAAAAAAAAATCAATGATCAGCTCTAAATCATGGTAATTTGTGTAATAGAAATATAACAATATGTACGAATAGTTTGCAATTCAAGGTCATAAGTCAAAGGGCAAGATATCAACGGCAATTTCTTTTAAAATATAGATCCCTAAGATATAAGTATTTCTTTTGAGACAAGGAAGTTCCTCATTAATGGAATATATACATTTATAAGTATGTGCCTGCATGTTGGAAGGAGAAACATGTAATAATTATTGTAGCATGATTTTACTGGACCAATTTTTTATCCCCTCACAACGAATTTGCTTTGTAGGGAGAGGGGGATGAGTGAGTGCGTGCGTAACGAAAGATACGGAAGTAATAACTAATACCGGGTTCTGCTCTTTTGTGAGGGGATGCTCCGCTTTGCGAATTCCCCCCCCCTTTTTTTTATCTAGGAACGACCACAAACACTTGATATTATATTTTTATCATATTATATTTTTATCTTATTAAGTTAAAGCTTAATTTTTGTAATCATAATGCAGAACATGTACATGTATACTGTTTATAGTGAATAGAATTAACTTTATATTTTCAACTGTGTCAGTCAGACCATATGTGGAGATTCAAAACGTTTTGAGTGATTTCTAAAGAAGCTATTAAAACAACGAAGAATTTATTGTCACTACTATGAGATATAAAGGTGCCCATGCAACATTGTAGGAAGATTAAACGAAGTAAGGGGTCATGAAAATTTTCCTACAGTGATGGCAACAGTCATATCAGGGCCGTCAGAAAGGGGGGGGGGGTTGCGATCGCATGCACCCCTTTTATCAAATACTTTCGAAATGTGATTTTTGAAACAAAATAAATTCATTATTTATCTGTTAAAAGTAATGCTGCTGAGAATTTGTTTATTTAATATTCTTTGACTTCAAGAATGCACAAAATCGATGCCCATTAAAAAAAAATCTGGATCAGTAGGAGGTAGAAACCTTTCCAGACCCTCTTTCGCACCCCCCCCCCCTCTTTCCAGAAACCTGGCGACGGCCCTGGATATTGATATCCTATTTGATGACGATAAAACACACTTCGTTGTCTATATTTACATCATGTTCATCGTTTTCTTATGAGTACTTAATTTATTAAACTTTAACAGTTTGTATATGTATATTGCAGCCATACGGCAATCAAGTGGCTTTTTCGAATTACCTTTAACAGAGTAGTTCCTTATTTGCAACGTACATATTATTGATAAGGACAAATGTTCATTTTTTAAGATTCATCATTTTTAAAATAAGGAATAAACAAACTTTTAAACAATAACATTTCTATAATGAACAAGTTTTAAATTGTTTTCGTAAGAATTTCTCTCATAGTACATGTACATCTCTACGTATATTGTGGAGCGTGGCTTCTGAATATTTTTTGCTGCTTTATATGGGTATTTTTTTTATAAAACATTTATTTATGATGTTCACAGGTTTATTTGACCCAGTCAGTACTTTATTTACTTTTATTTCTTGTTTTACACCACAAGTCTTATATTTGGCATTTACATATTATTTGTTATAAAGATAAGATAATTTCAACACTAAATAAGTTGGCAGATCTTTAAAATTATTTTTATTTAGGATAATTCTATAGTTCATAAATAACCTTGTCTGAGTAGAAGGATTTCAAATCACCAAGTTAGTCAAGTTATTTTGTCATCT